ATACCAAAGACAAGAATCAAATGGTAGAAAATGAATACCAAATGGTATAACAAGAAGAATTGAAACAAAGATATAAACAAGGAAAGATATGATGCAAACCTTGAGCCTAATGCTCTCGGTACTAAGGACTCGACAACAATATACAACTTGAAGTCAAATCTTAACAAAGAAAAATTACACAATAAAAATCAATGAAAACGAAAATAACTTTAAAAGATGTACAAAATCCTACTCGTAGTGCAAACACACACAAAAAATTTTCTTACCAACAAAGTAGTGACCTTTGCGGCAAGAGGGGTAACTTTGGGTGAGGGGTGCGTCGTGTAAACGACTCGGATTGAACTCAAACCAGTGGCAAAATAAAGTACAAGGAGTGTACTTAACATATGTAGGTTGCCAAAACGTTTTGAAGTCGTTTGGTGGGGCTGCTCTTTCAAAGAAGTATGGGGCTGCACAGAAAAAGACTCTCTCGGGTGGCCTGGTGGACAAGGCGATCGTCCTCCTTCTTTTGGGCTGTCCAAAGTTGACAAAATAATCCAAATATATTTTTGGGGCAACTGTAAGAATGGCTAAATTTAATAACACGTTTTAAAAAATGGGCAAACCTATGAGATATTGTAATAATGGCTAAATAACTTTTTTTAAAAAAATACTGAAAAAATGTTTTGACAAATATATCCTTTTAACCAATTAGGTATATATAGATAATTTTAGAGATTTAAGATTTTTACAAATAGCAAAAACAATCGGCATTAATATTAGGGAAATCAATTGTATCTAATAAAAAAATAAATGAAATTAAAATAATTATCTTCAATCCAATTTAAAATCGGTAATTAGAATTTTAAAGTAGATTTAAAAAAAAAATTGGATAAGACTGTGTTGAGGTAGATTTTGAAATGTACCCATCTAAAATAGAAGATTTTCAAATAAGAGTGTAAATATAATTAGGGAATCAACTTACCTTTATTGGATTTTTAACAAATTAGGGTTTGCCTCCAATCATCCATTTCTTTCAGCGCCCTTCACGTTGTCGCCCCCATCCATCTCCACCGCCTTCTTTGATTTCCACTTCATCGCCATGCTGCCGAACCCACTGCCACACGGTCCAGTCCTCCTACTACAGCACCATACCATCCCAACCTAGATCCGAACGTTCCACCGCCTCGTCTTTCCTTCCGACACAGATTCGGTCCTCCCCACCGCTGCACCATTTGTACTGGACAAGATCCCACCGCCGCATTGCACCATACGAACTAAATTCGACCGTCCCGCCATAGACCAGAACTAGTCACCGTTGCCCACCACTCCGAGTGTGACTTAGGTAAAATCTTTGTTCTAATTTTGTCTTCCTAAATTTCAGGTGTATTTCAAAAATTATATAAATGTGGGACCTACCATATGAGTGTGTTGTTAATAATTAACCAAAATTTAGGAGTATATTTGTTTAACTTTGGCCAACAAACTTATGATAGAACTTAGAGGAGGAATATCTTGACGATCGAGTGAACGATTAAAGGCTGCTGGAATAACAGGGCGTCGAAGAGAAACGTGAATAATCACCTTAGACAGTGAAGAAGAGGTATAAATGCAACGGTTTATATATGGCTTGTTTGTTTTTTAAAAAATCGTCACATAGTTGATTTATCTTTATATATACACATTGAATCACCAATGACCTAGGGAGAGACTTCAATGAATATTGGAGAATGTGATGATGTCCAGGGAAAGAAAAGTAAAAAATTGAAGGAGACAAGCAAAAAGAGGGATGGGGGAGACTTAATCGGAGGTAAGACAAAACAGACTAAAGTTTACCCTAAAAGAAATTTGGGTTCATGTAAGGAATCTACCAAGAACGTAAGAACTCAAGGGATATTTGTGTCGAATAGTAATATTTACAAATTATATCCAGTAAGCTAATCCTACTTTTAGGTTTCAGGGAAAGGGAAAGGGTCTCAAGATAGTTGAGGAAAAGCGCGTTGTTAGTGAGGTAATTATTGGGATATACATGTACTAGCTTTTTATTAATGATATGTTAGTTGTAGAGTAGTACATATATGTATTGACTTTCGTATTTGGTTGTTTCTTGAATTGATATATACATCTATTGACTTTCATGTTTTTCTAATTGTTGAATTATTGGTACATACATATATAGACATTATAATTATTAGGATATACATGTACCGGTTTTATATTTATGATATTTTAGTTGTACAACAGCACATAGATGTATTGACTTTCGTATTTGGTTGTTTCTTGAATTGATACAACATCTATTGACTTTCATGTTTTGTTAATTGTTGAATTATTATTACATACATATATAGACGTTTTAATTTTGATGATTGAGTTGCATAGTGATTTATACGTGTATTGTATTCTAGTGTTGGTTTTTCATCCACTACGATATACATTTACTAATCATATAATTTTGATAATTCTTCTAATATTTGAGAGATGTTGAAATTATTGTACCCATATTTTTCATTCCACGTACTACCATATAGAATTGTGATTACTACAATCATCATTGTTGCAAAGAAAGAAGAAGGAGCTTAAAAGAAGGAGCTTAAAAGAAGAAGATATAGTAGAATGACAGAATGATGATTAAGTTACAGTGTAACACTTGTAATACGTTTAAATTAACTGAAATTCCTAATAAAAGAATTAAAATAATTAAGTTAAAATCCCCTTAAGGAAGGAAACAAAATTTGAATTGAAAAGAAACTTTGTTGGGGTGGTTAAATACTTGGAAATTTCAAAAAACATAGGGAGGACATTGTGGGACAAAACTAAAAAATGTAAAATTTCAAATATATCCTTTACCCCATTTTGCAAAATTATAAACAAATTGACATTTTCTTAAGTGGATTACAAGAGCTTAAGCTCTGATATCAAATGATACGCGACAACCCAAGCGTATTGGACTACTAGAGCCACAAGCCACTTGAATCTAATCGTATACATGGTTTCAACCCGAAAGGCTACGAGTTAGACGAATTACCTTTGTAGTGGATTACCTTGAACAGACAGAATACTCACTATGCTGAAAGCCGGAAACATTCCACGAGTTTGGTGACCAACCAAACAAGCATGCTCCGAGGGTAAAAATATGGATTCCTAAGTTCAACCACACAAATGAAAACAATATTTTTTAGGGGGTTGCACACGGCAAGGGGTGAGAACAACTCTGATAAGACTTGATTAAAGGCTAAAAAGAGTAGTTTTCATGCTTGGTTGGGAGT